TATAAATCTGACAGAGTCTGTTCAGTTAGCTGCGTCGAGTCAGGTGTTTGCTGCGGCGTCCAGGTCTTGTCCTGAGTCTGCCCCCTGCTCGTGTCGTCTGCTGTCCCACCAGACTCTCCTTTGGCACCACCGCCTTGGTCACCCCTCCTTGCCTCGTCTCCGAGGCATGGCCTCCCGTGTCCTTGTCTCTGGTCTTCCTCGGTCTCTCCCTCCCCTTCCTCCGGGGCCAGGCCCTACCTGCGTCCCCTGCGTCGAGGGACGACAGCGCGCCGCCCCTCACTCCTCCGAGTTTCCTCCGACAGAGGCTCCGCTGCAGACTCTACACATGGACGTGTGGGGCCCAGCCCGCGCCAGTGGGCAGGGGAGAGAGCGGTACTTTCTGCTGGTCGTTGACGACTACTCGCGTTACACCACAGTCTTCCCCTTGCGCAGCAAGGGTGACGTCACTGAGGTGTTGATCGACTGGATCCGCGCAGCTCGTCTCCAGCTCAGAGAGAGTTTCGGCTCGAACTTTACTGTTTTGCGTCTGCACTCGGACAGAGGAGGGGAGTTTTCCTCTGCCTGTCTGGGAGCCTTCTGTCGGGCACAGGGCATCCGCCAGACCTTCACGCTTCCGGCCTCTCCACAGCAAAATGGGATTGCTGGGCGCCGCATTGGCATGGTCATGGACGTCGCGCGTACGTCCATGATGCATGCGGCTGCCCCCCCATTTTCTGTGGCCGTTTGCGGTTCAGTACGCCGCGCATCAGCTCAACCTTCAGCCCCGGGTCTCCTTGCCAGAGACCTCCCCCGCCTTGCGGTAGACAGGGAAGGTTGGCGATGCGTCTGCGTTTCGGGTCTGGGGATCTCGGGCGTTTGTCCGCAACTTGTCTGCGGACAAGCTGTCCCCCCGTGCTGTTCCTTGCGTCTTCCTTGGCTTCCCCCCTGACGCGCCTGGCGGGCAGTTCTACCACCCCACCACGCGCCGTGTTCTGTCCTCCCAGGACGTCACCTTTGACGAGTCGATGCCTTACTACCGTCTCTTCCCATACCGCACTGCGCCCCTCCCCCCGCCGCCGCTCTTCCTTGCGCCAGGTGCTACCCAGGTAAACCCCCTCCCTCCTCAGGGTCCTACCCCTTCAGGTGTGTCCCAGGTAGACGCAGTCGAGCCTGTCGAGGTAGCTGTAGACTCTGGTGCTGCTAGAGGTGCTGAGCCTGCGGGTGCCGGGTCTGCGGGTGCCGGGTATGGGGGTGCTGAGTCTGGGGGTGCTGGGTCTGGGGGTGCTGAGTCTGGGGGTGCTGAGTCTGGGGGTGCGGAGCCTAGGGGTGCTGGGTCTGCTCGTGTGGCCGCCGGCGGTACTTCGTCGAGGCAAGAGCCGCTCTCTCCACAGGAGCTGCGCGTGTGGTTCGCCCGCTGCTGAGTCTGGGGGTACTGCAAGAGCTGCTGGGGGTGTTGGCGTTGGTGTTTCTACTGGTGCTGGTGCGTCCGAGGGTGCTGCTGAGGCAGCTGGTGCTGACGGTCCTACTGGAGATGGTGCTGCTGGAGCTGGAGCTGCCGGGGGTGTTGGCGCTGGTGTTTTTACTGGTGCTGGTGCGTCTGGGGGTGCTTCTGAGGCAGCTGGTGCTGACGGTCCTACTAGAGTTGGTGCTGTTGGAGCTGGAGCTGCTTGGGGTGTTGGCGCCGGTGGTGCTGCTGGCGCTGGTGCTTTTGAGGGTACTGGAGTTGGCGCTGTTGGAGCTGGAGGTTCTGCTGGCGCTGGTGCTGCCGCTGGGGGTAATGGTGCCGTACTTGCTGGTTCTGGAGGCGCTGAGCGACCGAGGCCGTACTTCGTTCCCCTCCTGGAGCAGGTTCTTGGTCTCCCGCCCTCTACTGGTCCTGCTCCTCCCCTAGAGTGTCCACCGCCTGTCCAGTCGCAGTCACAGTTACCGTCCGCCTCCCCTCTACCTGCTCCTTCTCCCTACACTGGTCCTACTGGAGGTCTTGCTGAGCGTCGTGAGCCTGCGTCTCGTCCCGCGTCACCTCTTCGTGCTGCTCGCACTAGTGGTCGTACTGCACGTCCGCGTCCTCCTGCGGTCCCCGGCACACACCAGATGGCACTGCATCCTTCCACTGCTCCTCTGCGTGTCCCGTTGCCGTCTCCTCCAGAGTCCTCTCTTCCTTCTCTTGCTGACCCGGAGTCTGACTCCCTTCGTGCTGCTAGTCCTTCGGTCACGCGCCTTCTTGCTACTGTCGTCACTGACCCTTCCTTTGAGTCTGCTGCTGCGTCTGCTCTAGTTGCTGAGCTTGTCGAATTCGCTGCTCGTTGTCGTCTACACTACGCTGCCGGTCTTGTTGCTGAGTCTGTCTGTCCTCCGTCCGTCGGGGGTGAGTGTGCTCTTAGCACGGACGTCCTTGAGAACAGGCAGGAGGAGTTCCACTGCTTTGCGGCTGCTTTGCCCCATCTCGTGTCCACGCTGATTGCCCCTGAGGGAGACTCGGATGCACCAGACTTCCCTACTCCTCGATCGTACGCTGAAGCGATCGAGGGTCCCTACTCCTCACAGTGGCAGTCGGCCATGGACGCAGAGATGGCTTCCTGGAAGTCCACAGGCACCTACGTCGACGAGGTTCCCCCACCTGGGGCGAACATCGTCAGTGGCATGTGGATCTTCAGGGTGAAGCGGCTGACGGGCTCTCCGCCTGTCTTCAAGGCGCGTTACGTGGCTCGAGGCTTCAGTCAGCGGCAGGGAGTTGACTTCTTTCAAACCTTCTCTCCCACCCTAAAGATGACCACTCTTCGGGTACTGCTGCACATAGCCGCTCAACGTGACTACGAGCTTCACTCTCTTGACTTCAGCACTGCTTTCCTGTAGGGCAGCCTGCACGAGGAGATCTGGCTGCGCCGCCCACCTGGCTTCACTGGGTCATTTCCTCCTGGCACCCAGTGAAGCCTCTGGCGGCCAGTCTACGGTCTCCGCAAGGCGCCCCGTGAGTGGCACGACACACTGAGGACTACACTTGCGGCTCTTGGGTTTGCTCCTTCTACAGCCGACCCGTCGCTGTTTCTACGCACCGACACCTCTTTGCCGCCGTTCTACATCCTCGTGTACGTCGACGACCTGGTCTTTGCCACAGCTGACACTGCTGGACTCGCCCACGTGAAGTCCGAGCTGCAGAAGAGACACACGTGCACAGACCTGGGTGAACTGCGCAGCTACCTTGGCTTGCAGATCACCCGGGACAGAGCACAGCGCACCATTACCCTGACTCACTCACACATGGTGCAGCAGGTCCTTCAGCGCTTCGGCTTCACGTACTCCTCGCCTCAGCCCACTCCTCTGCCTACTCGCCACTCGCTCTCAGCTCTGCCTTCGGATGAGTCCGTAGAGTCGAGTGGCCCGTACCCACAGCTTGTTGGCTGCCTCATGTACCTGATGACCTGCACACAACCTGACCTTGCATACCCTTTTAGCATCTTGGCACGCTATGTTGCTCCTGGGAGACACAGACCAGAGCACATGGCTGCAGCGAAGAGGGTGTTGCGCTACGTGTGCAGTACGCCGGGCATGGGGCTAGTGCTTGGAGGGCGACGTCGAGTAGTCCTCACAGGTCACGCAGACGCTTCTTGGGCTGACGATCAGGCTACGCAGCAGTCGTCACAGGGTTACACCTTCAGCCTTGGCTTCGGCTCTGTCTCGTGGCGGTCTACCCGCTCGTCCTCTGTTCTCGGCTCCAGTTGTGAGGCAGAGATCTACGCAGGGGCCATGGCTGCACAGGAGCTACACTGGCTCACCTACCTGCTGACTGACCTAGGAGAGCCGCCTCGTTCTCCTCCAGTTCTGTACGTAGACAACAAGGCCATGCTGGCCTTGTGTCGGGAGCACAGACTGGAGCACAGAACGAAGCACATTGCTCTCCGCTAATTCCTGTCTCGTGAGCTGCAGCAGCGTGGTCAGCTCCGCCTCACCTACGTGGCCTCTGAGGCCAACACTGCTGATATCTTCACCAAGGCCCTTCCGCCTTGTGATCATCAGTGCTTCTGTACTGTGCTAGGTCTTGTGCCTACCTGGCCTCACTTGCTCACTTCGTGATCTTGTTTGTACTGTCTTCTTTCTATACCCGCCCTTGCTTGTTTTACCTTTATATATATGACCTTGCATGTGAACTGGCCTTGTGGCCTTACTCTTGTGCTCGGACTGTGTGGTGACTTTGTGATCCACCCTGAGCTTGCTTTGCTTTGCTTTGCTTTGCTTGACTGGTCTTGTGACCACTTGTTCTCCCCCACTTTGCCTATGGGGGTGTGTCAGAACATTATAGCTTATACATTTGTGTAGGCTGTAGTGGGGTAGCCCATAAGGGATACAACCCAATTAGGGTTAGTACTTGTACCCAACTGTTTCATAGTTCATTCATTCCATTCTCACTTCTCGTCACTTTCCTGTCTCCCCCCGTTCCTCCCTCCCCGCTCAGACTTGACCTTGATCTGCTCCATATTCGCCTCGTGAAAGGACAGCAATGGCCCGCAAAAACAGTTGATGTGACTCCTCCCTCTTTAAACCAAACCTCCCCTTCTCTCGTGCCCACACCGTGTCGTGCAGAGAGGCCCTGGCAGCCAAGGACGCCGCCACTGCAGTCCCTGAGCTGGGTCTGATCGACTATGTCCTGAAGGAACTCGCGGAATACCTGGGAAGGTCGCATCCCTCTCACAATGAGTTTCAGGAGCTGCAGGAGGTGTTCTGCAAGACTAACCTTGAACTGCAGGGAATTCACTCAGTTCGTTGGCTGAGCCGCGGCGATGCCATCACGCGCTTGGTGCGTGTTCTCCCTGTCGTCATCGTGCTCCTGTGGGAGTGGGACAACAAGTGGTACCACATTGTGACTTCAGTGAAGTTCAATGTGTACCTTTACTACCTCGCAGACATGCTCAACCTCCTCAACACCCTCAACCTTGAGTTTCAGAGGCGGGAGGTGAGTAGCCTTTGTAAGCCCGAGACCCTTGTCTGTGCTGGTTGTACGGTCCTTGTTAAATCCGAACCTTGTCATGTGGCAGGTCGACATGACATCGGTGCAGTCGACAGTGTGCCGCACACTGATAACCATCCGAACGCGCTACATCGAGTGCGGCGATGACTTCGGTGGCGGCCCACAGCTACACCTCGGGGGCTTCCTAGCCAGGCTCATTAAGTCTCCGAAAGTCGCTGTGGCAGGTGTGGACAAGGAGGGGGAGAAGCAGGAACATAGCTTTGAGCTGCACGAGGAGGCATTGACGGGCTACAGCAAGACAGCTGATGACCTGCAGTCGTGCCTCGACATCTCCCGCCGCCACGCCAATTCGACGCTCACCCACCTCCAGAGGAGGCTGGGGGATCTCGAAAGCCTGAACGGTGTCCGGCTGTTTATGCTAGACACGTACCCTGAAGACAAGGAGGGACGCGCTGAGGAGTGCCGCGAGCACTTCGAGACACTCGTCGACTTGTTCCATGCCCGCGAGCGAGCAGACATTCTCCCGGGTAAGCACAAGTAGATTGTCCTACCCATTCTGTCCTCTGTCCCCACCTCTGCCAAGTTCTGTCACTGCTCTGTGTATATCCAGCAATCTGACTTGATCCGTCACTGCTCTGTGTATATCCAGCAATCTGACTTGATCTGTCACTGCTTTGTGTATATCCAGCAATCTGACTTGTTCTGCCCCTGCACTGTGTATAACCTGAAAATTCCATGATCCGTCCCTGTCCTGTGTATAACCAGAATCCGCCCTCGTTCGTGTCCTGTGTGTAATGCGTGGCAGGTGTGGACAAACGTGCTGCCAAGAAGGAACTGAGGACATTTGTCCCTGTTCTGGCTGGCGCTCCCAAAGGCGAGCGCACATTTCAACGCGGGCTGGCAGCCATGCTGCGAACGAAAGACTGGGAGCGGAGCTACCCCAACCTCGTCCGCCTCTGGACAGCGGTGGCTGTCCTGCCGCTCAGCACCGTCGAGTGTGAGCGCGGCTTTAGCCGCCAGAACGTGATTAAGTCCTGGCAGAGGACCAGCCTCTGTGATGCCAGGCTCAGTGACCTGATGTGCCTGAGCCTGGTTGAGTATGACATGGAATGGGGTAAAGTTGTGGATTTGTGGCGCAGCAGCAAGAAGAGGAGGCCTATTAAGAGAAGGGAGAAGCAGAGGAAGGCGGGGAAGGGGTACGTCTTGGAGGACGGACAACAAGCAGATATTGAACATGGCAGCGGCAGCAGCAACGACAGTGGGTTTAGTAGCAACAGCGATGATGATGATGATGATGAGGAGGGCTAAGAGGTGGTGTAGGAGGTAATGGAGTAGTAAAACACCAACTACATGTGCGCTGCCACTGCTCTACTCTGCTCTGCTGTGCTCAACAGAGTCTCTGGTCTGGTCTGGTCTGTGCTACAATCTGAACCCTGAACACCAGTTTTTTTGCCCTGACAGGTCAGGATTAATTTCTGCAAAAGCCCTGAACCTGACAAATCAGGGCATTATTTTAGATTCTAGTAAAGTGCCCTGAGGGCCCAGGGTACCCCAAATCCTAGCACGGGCCCTGCAGTACACCACCACAAATGAGCTACTGTACACTGTCAATCACATCAAACACAATAGAAATCAAGGCAACAAAATTACCCCACAACCAACATACATTAGTGGACGACTGACCCAAAGACACTATAACCAGAAACCAAACCTAATGTCAGTAACATCTCTGTTCACGAATCTGCGGACCCTGCTCTGTTATCATCATCTGACACAGGCTCCCTCTTTATTTCCAGCTTTGTGAGTGCTGAGTTGGGGCCACGTTCCCTCAGAATCTCCTCATAAAACCGATCCCTGAATCCAGACTCGCTCCAGTACTCTTGATACTCCGGCTTCACTCTCCGCACAGGAATGGTGATGGAATACACAGTCCCTATGTCCGGGTCAGCTGACACACTCAGCTGCACGTCTTCTTCTGATTCTATCTCCACGTATGCTGAAATTGCATCAATGATCTTGCGGCGTAGTCGCCTTCTCACTTCAGGACTTACTTCCCCTCGATCTGTGTACAGAACAAGCCGAAGCCGCTCTTTGGCAATCTCTGCATTGCTGCAAGACGTTTGAGAAAGGAAGAATGGTCAAATGCTTAGCCACGAATTACTCAACCCAATGGAACAACCATGAAAGGGACGGATTTCGAAGAAAAAGTGTGACTGAGAAAATCGGTTTTACAGACAGTTGACCACCCATAACTTTTACAGTCAGCGAGCTCGGTGGTGTGACTAACCTCGGAGGACGGTTTCTTGGAGGAAAGATGATTCGCCATGCCCGCTGCAACCGTTGAAGGAAAGTTAACTCAAATAGATCTTCGTCATCTTCATCATAATAGGTAGCTTTTACTGCAAAGATAATGCATCAAAGAAGGAGGATACGTAAAACTGCTGAAGCCACAAAATGCAGGCAACTGAAGTAATGGCAAGTGAGCAAATTCATACCCGTAAAAGCCCGGCAGACGCCAGGCCTTGGCAATGGGTTAGCCCTAAAACCTGAAATTCCGTGAAATCCTGGTGTCAAAGCGCTTCGCAATAATGTCCGTGAGCGAGTCAACGATTGCTGCCGTACTGTTCCTAGTCTTGACTGCAAGCGTATGCAGACATGAGAACCACGTGAGAAACATGCCCAAATGCACAGCCTCGAGCGAAAGGCGAGTAACTTTTTCCATTGTAAGAAAGCAAAGGCTTACCGACGGATTGGTCTGAGAACATTTAACGGGAGAATGCGATAAAGCATCTGAACTTGCAACGGCGCTCCTAGAAGCCTCTGGCAATAACGGTTGAGCGACCCTAGAAGATGACGACCACACTGCGGGTCGCGCCATTGTCTCCATCAGTAAACTACCACACACTAAGCTGCTTCTGTACCCGCCAACAACGTTTCCAATAACTAGAGATCTAAAAGCTTCAGCCCTAGGTCCATGGATGTTGCTTTCGTGAACGGTGAGAGAACACTCTTAGCGAGGGTTCTCAGCGAATCACACCGTCGCTAGAGCTTCCTTTCCTCACTGACAGGCCCTTGAGCACACACGAGGGGAAGAGGAGCGAACCAGGAAAAACGAACGGTATCTGGCCAGAATTTTGTTTTGGCGGGAAATATACAGTGTTGGGCCACGTACTGTACTTCGACAAGGTAATAGCTACTCAATATATCTATCCAGCCTCATAAAAAAACGTCAAGATAGAGCAGTCCACCATCATTAACGTATTAACGCAGTTGGTCATGTATGGGTAAAAAATGACAGCTCCTGATCCTAGTAACCATTCAGCGTTTTCTTTTTGCTCTCGAAGTAGCATCAGGCACCGTTTCTTTTCTTTTTCCGCTCCCTGCCACGGTGGCCTGTGCCTGCAGTCCTGAGACGGCAGTTGACCACAGTGCCTTCTCTACATCAGCAGCTGTGAACTTAACGAGTGAAGCCTCCTCTTCATGTGACGTGGAACGGGCACAGTCCTGCTCTGCTTGCCCTTCTGCTCCGACTGTAGCGGAATCTGTAGCTCCTACCTGTGCGGTTTTGTCTTCGAGCCGATTCAATCCCTGTCGAGGAAATAAGGGAGGAGGAAGAGATTCATCCAGTGATTTAGGTTCAAGAACAAGGAAAGGGGCATGCGGCCTCAAGGCAAGAGCAGTTTACATGCTCACACCCTTGGAAAAGATGCAGAGAAATGTGCTCGCACTGAAACGCACTCACACTGAAACAGGCTCGCACTGAAACCTTCTCACCCGGGCCAGCGTATGCAAACAGGAATGCACATGCACCAAGAAGCTACAGAGCACATCATGCGTTCCAAGCCAAAAGTTTGAAACGTTCCACACCTCACAGATATTTTCAAACACTCTTTCCGGCGAAGGTAACAAAAAAAGCGCCACTCAGCTTACCGATGACTTTTCGCGCATGGCCTTGGCAAAAACGAGGTAGCGGCGAAGCGAGTAGTCTTTGCAGTCCCCCAACGCCGCAACCATGGCCTGGATCACCGCAGCAGGGAGGGAGATGAGAAGAGAGGCAAGGACAAAGAGGAAGGGGAGGGAGCACACAGAGACTGACAGGAGGAAGGCATCCCAGTGCTCATGAGGTAGCGGCGACGCGAGTAGTCCTTGCAGTCCCCCAACGCCGCAACCATGGCCTGGATCACTGCGGCAGGGAGGGAGATGAGAAGAGAGGCAAGGATGAGGAGAGGGAGCACTAAGGGACTGTTGGGAGGAAGGGCATCAGTATGCTCATGAGGTAGCGGCGAAGCGAATAGTCCATGCAGTCTCCCAAAGCCGCAACCATGGCCTGGATCACTGTGGCAGGCAGGCAGATGAGACGAGATGCAAGGATGAGGGGAGGAGCACAGAGAGACCGTTGGGAGGAAGGGCACCAGATTCTCACATGAGGAAATCAATTGATATTTCAAGTGGTTGAAGGAGATGGGGTTGGGGGTTTAGGGTTCAGGGTTTGGGGTTCGGGGATCTAGGGTTTCGGGTTGTTGCAGAGGCAGCAATGGAGAAAGTAACATGGATGGATGCGTTTACATACTTCACAGTATTTCGCTCCTGAGAAATTATCTTCGCTTTGTAGATCTCTGCTCACCTCATTCGACATGAATGGAGTGGCAAACGCAGCCAGCACTGCAGATGCTGTTGCTGCTCCAACGCCCTTGAGTTACGAAAGTTCTGTCACTGCAGCCTTTAAACTCGCTTTAACACTGCTCCCGAGAAGAATCCCTGCTCACCTCGTCCGACATAAATGGAGCGATTTCAGGGGCGAACGCCGCCAGCACTGCAGATGCTGTTGCTGCCCCAACGCCCTTAAGTGTTGACAGCTCCGTTACTGCTGCCTTCAGACTCACTTCAACATCTGCATCGGAACGTGCTCCCGAACCTGATTCCGAACCTCCAGACGTGGTAAGGTTGTGGTATGGCGCCAGAGCAGCGAAGGCTCGAGATGATGCAGCCTGGACTGCTTTGGGGTCGAGATGCTTGACGAAGTCCAGAAGACGAGGGCTGATGGGGGAGGGAATGTCGAAGGGAGAAGGAAAGGAAGGGAGAAGGAAAAGGGAGAGGGGGAGCGTGAGGGGCTTTGAAGTCAACACAAAGATGATGCGGTTTGGATTGCATCAGAGTCAAGCTGCTTGCTGAAGTCCAGGAGAAGAGGGACGGTGGACGAAGGGAAGGGAAAAGGTAAGGGAGAAGGAGGGGAGAAGGAAGGGGAGAGGGGGCGTGAGGGGCTATAAGTCAACTATAAGTCAACACAAAGATGATGAGGTTTGGATTGCATCAGAGTCAAGCTGCTTGCTGAAGCCCAGGAAACGAGGGACGGTGGACGAAGGGAAGGGAAAAGGTAAGGGAGAAGGAGGAGAGAAGGAAGGGGGGAGGGGGCGTGAGGGGCTATAAGTCAACACAAAGATGATGAGGTTTGGACTGAGTTGGGTTAGAGCTGCTTGATGAAGTCGAGGAGACGAGGGATGATGGGCAAAGGGAGAAGGAGGGGAGACGGAGGCCGGGAGCGGGGTGAGGGGACTTTTGAGTCGATTCCAGAGTCTTGAGGTTTGGACTGCAGTGCGATCAAGCTGCTTGATGAACTCGGGGAGACGAGCGCTGATGGGGGAAGGAAGAATGAACGGGGAGGTAGAGGGGAAGGAAGAGGGGAAGTCAACACAAGAATGATGCGGTTTGGACTGCAGTGCGATCAAGCTGCTTGATGAACTCGGGGAGACGAGCGCTGATGGGGAAGAAAAGGAAGGAAGGGGGAAAGGAGGTAAGAAGGAAGGGGGAAAGGAGGTAAGAAGGAAGGGAAACAGAAGGGAGAGGGAATGGGGTGCGGGCGTGAAGGGCTTTGAGTACAGCACAATCATGCGGTTTGAACAACATCGGGGTCGAGCTGCTTGATGAAGTCCAGGAGACGAGGGCTCATTGGGGAAGGGAGAAGGAAGGGAGAAGGAATAAGGGAGAGGGGCTTAAGTCAACACCGAATTCATGCGGTTTTGAACTGCAGTGGGGTCGAGCTGCTTGATGAATTGCAGGAGACGAGGGCTGATTGGTGGGAAGGGATTGGAGAAGGAAAAGGGGAAAGCTGGGGTGAAGGGGGTTTGAAGGGGGGGGAGGGAAGGCTGAAGCGAAGGGGAAGGGAAAATGGTTGTGTACACATGGGGATTGCAGATTAATGAGGTTTAGATTGAGAATTGCGGGAGTCTTATGATAGGAGTCTTGTGTTGCAGGTTTCAGATTTCAGGTAATTGTGAGGGTGGGGTGAAACGATCGCGTGCGGGTGATGGGAAGAGAGGAAGAGGGGGCAAGGGGTCGGTGATGGTTGGGGAGGGAATGGCGTTAAGGAAATTACCGCCACTTGCCACGTGTCAGCTTCCACTCCATCACCGACACGAGCTCCTCCTTGCTGACGTAAGCTCCACCACCCCCACCATCCCCTCCACCCCCACCATCCCCTTTCTCCTTGTCCTCGCTTTCTGAATCTTCGCGTTTCCTGCTCCTACTTCTGGTAACCCTAGATTCAATACACCCGCCCTTAGCATTCCCGCGTTTACTCCCACCTGTGGTATCTCCACCATTACTAACATTCTCTGGTTTAGAATCTCCTGCTTCGACATCCTCGGCTTTAAGATCTCCGGCTTCGAGGTTTCCCGGTTCAGGGTCGCCGCTTTCGCCACCGCGTTGTCGCTGCCGCAATCGCCGCGGCAGCTCGTCGCAGTAGAACGCGTCGAGTGCCGCGAGCTTAGGCTTCGCGAGCAACTCGATCGAGCTGCTGTACGCGGTACGGGCTTCCCGCCAAGCGCACCGATCAGACGACGAGAAATCAAGCATCCTGTCAGAAATCGTCCTCTAATCGACGGACTGCTAACTTCGCAAACTGTAGCCTTGTCCATCACTCTTTTGCTTCACTTTGCCTCGCCTATTGACAAACCCAAGGTAAACTTTGTGTGAATGGTTTCCATTTACTGGTGTGGCTCGGAAACTCATATATGGACAACATTCTTTATTGTTATATTGTAAGGAATTTTCTCGACATTCCTTAGCGCATCCTGCAACATCGCGTACAGCAGCAGCCGTTGTTTCGCCCGTTACTGCTAACTGGGCTTGGCCGACTTCGTGCACACTGTTTCACCAAACCTCGCACTGCTGGCCCGGCCGTGTCGGCCTACGCTTCGGGGCTAGCCCGAACCTCACTGCCAGCGTAGCACTAGCTAGCTCGCACGCACCGCGTTACCGTTTGCAAGTTTCGTGTATAAATATTCGCTCATGTCTTCGCTCACATTTTGTACTCGTTTGACACTTAGTGCAATCCTCGCTATCTCGATTCATTGCACCCGTAACACTTGGTATTTAGTTCAGGGCCCCTTTCTTTTCGGACCGCGCATCTCCGCACCCTAGGAAATCAACTTTTGATTTTTCACTCGAAGGGACTCACGCACCTTAGCCCTTAGGGGCCGCTGTCCTCGCGTTCTCTCGTAAACGCGTGCAGCCACGACTGCGCCTATAACTAAGACGGGCTGATGCCATTCGGAATGGCCGAACATATCGACGTCACCACCCTTACGCAGGACCGTCTGGACGAGCTGCTGCAACAGCTGCACGAAAATTCCGAAGAAATTGCGGCTCTGTCGGCGGAACGCACGTCCCTGCAAAATGACGTCGCACGAGCACGGCAAGCACAATCTCAAGCACATGGCACCCCGGTACAGCCCGCACCACAGACATCGCAACATGGAAGCGTGGGGCAACCTGCGAGCGCGGCCAGTGATGGCGTCGTCCGCCACGACGGAGACGACGACCACGGCACGACACACTCCGAAGCGACGAATGCAACCAGGAGTCAGCCTCGAGTCACGATTTCTGTGCCGGCCGGCGAATCAACACTGCCGTCGCCGATGCCGTTGAAGCCGCAGTGTCCGCCATGCTTTGACCCGAGTCAACGGGGTGGTCCTACCGTTCAGACGTCGTTGTTCACGTTGAATGTTTTCTTCGACGTCAACTACGTCTCGGAAGATACGGCGAAAATCCGCTATGTCGTGTCGTCGTATTTCGTGGAGGTGCCCCAATATCGCATATGGGACGCGTGGTACGCAGGTCTGCACGCTCGGTTTGAGCCAATTGCGGCTTCAATCGCGGCGCGACAGAAGCTCCGCACTTGGTGCCAGCTCGGTTCCGTCCAAGACTACACGAGCGGGTTTCTGGCGCTATGCGAGCAAGTGGGTTATGTGAGAATGCTGTATTTGTCTAGCCTGCAGTGGGGTACTCTATAGCGAGTACAGCCCAACTAAGGGTTTGCTATATGTACTCAACTGCTTGCTTGTGCAACCCCCCTTTCTGCTGCTAAACTTTCTTTCTTAACTTTGGACATGCTATCAGAGCCTGTCCCTCCTTGGCCTGTGGGCCCACCAACCTGCTTCCGCTGCCACTCGATCTGTCGCACGCCCTGTGGCGTGCGACGTATTTTTCATCTCGGCGCGCGGCGATTTCCTCTCTGGCGCGCGCCCCGAGGCGCGCGACCCCTTTTCTTCCTAGCGCGCCGGCCCCGCTGGACCTGCGCGCCGCACCCCGTCGACCCTCGCGTCGCCTCAGGGGGCCCGCGCGCCGCCCCCGTCGACCCTCGCGTCGCCTCAAGGGACCAGCGGGGGGTGTCGGTTGTGTGCGCCGTCCCCTACTCCTCCTCCTCCTCCTCCTCCGTCTCCCGCTGCTGCAGCTGCCGCTCAGGGGGGTGGGTGTGTGGGAGCCGAAGGAGTGGTGCTACGGGCGTGTCGTGGGAGTGGAGCTAGGGGTGCAGCAGGGGGTGTGTGATAGGGGCGTGAGGCAGCTGGGGGAGGTTGAGTGGAGGCGGCCGTCGTGTCGCCAGCAGCGCCAGTAGTCCGGAGGCTACAATCTCCGGTAGTCGCCAGTCGCCTGTGGGTCAGTTGCTCCAGTCAGGAGGCTACAATCTCCGCAGAGCCAGTTACTCCTTTAGTTCGGGCCCTTGCTTCGGTAGCCACTGAGCCAGCAGCTCCTGTGTGTCTGCAGCTTCAGCAGTCGCCTCCCATCTTCTCGCCCTCACAGTCTCTCCTCCTCCTCACTTGCCCTCTGTGATAGCCTCTAGCTTTACTTATCATTGTGAACTATTCCTATGCATGCTTGTTGTGCTGATTACACCCCACTTTGGCAATGGGGGTGTGTCACAATGCTGTATTTGTCTAGCCTGCAGTGGGGTACTCTATAGCGAGTACAGCCCAACTTAGGGTTTGCTATATGTACTCAACTGCTTACTAGTGCAACCCCCCCTTTCTGCTGCTAAACTTTCTTTCTTAACTTTGGACAGGTTATATGTATGAGAGCGAACGTATTGACCGCTATATCGGTGGCCTGAAGCACGACATCGATCAGGAAATCCAGCTTCGCGGCGTCACCGATTTCCAGGAGACTCGCCATGGCGGAGAAGCTCGATTTCTTCCGCCGACCGAGACCGGGGTCCTATGGAAGCAGTAGCCGGGGACATCGGTCTCGTGGGACAAACGAGGGCGCTACGATACGTGCCGTCGGCCGGGACACCGCAAGAGTAAATGCCCGAAAAACGCTAAGGGAAAGGGGGAAGCTGAGCAACAGAAAAAGACCAAGCAACGGGGAAACGCTAAGAGTCAGTACCAGACAGGCCCTCTACTAACAGGTCACGCCGCTCGCCTGACCCAACCGACCCTCACCGAGTGATTGTGCCGGTTCACGCAATCTGTTGGTTATAGAAATAAATTTCTGTATCCCAATCAGCCGATTTTGAGAAACTTAGAACGAGAATGGATTGACTAAGGAATGAAAGTGATACAAATATGAAACCCTAGAATTGTGTACCCCTTTGTATCTAACCCGCTACAGCCTACACAGGCTAGATCATATAAGTTTGACACACCCCTATAGGCAAAGTGGGGGAGAACAAGGGTTCACAAGACCAGTCAAGCAAAGCAAGGCAAACCAAGCTCAGGGTGGATCACAACGTCACCACACATTCTGAGCACAAGTTCAAGGCC